ATATTGCTTAATAATTTTTTTCTAGTATAAAATGTAAAGACTGATATGTATGTCAAAGAAAGTCCACTATGTTCAAGATTTTTTAAATGTTTATTTTCAATAAAAAATTTTTTTAAAAAACAAGAATTCCTTTGACTCCATTAAAATAGAGAAAAAGTACTTTTACTGAGTTTTAACTGACAGAGACAAAAGGAAGCAAGATCTGAGGCAAATAGGCGTAGAAATTACATATTGAAAGTTATCCCAAGTTCCCTCCCCCAGGAGTCCAGGTTGATCATCCAATCTGAGATATGTATAATGTCACATGAGGTACATCTTCAGGTGCTTTCTCACTCATCTGGTATGCCAAGACGGTTGACCTTGGCTTAGCAGAGATAAGTTTATGCAGCTGCACAGTAAGCAGGAAAACATCCCCTCCTTTTTAGTTCACACAGGAACATCTTCGCACTCCAGCAAACTTCCTCCCCAAATACCAAATTAACCCCCCCCCCCCCGTTTCTATGGCAGCCGAAAGAATCAAGCAGCAAAAGATGTCAAGAAAACTTCTTGGAGGGTGACATTTGCCCTCCTGCAAAAGAGGTATTAGCCCTGGAAAACAAAACATCGTAGGTAACAGGCAAAGAAATATTCTAAATAGGAGCAAATAAGATACATATAAGATTACATCAAAGTTTATCCAGGTATTTACATGTCATAATCCCTCAGCTTAGGGGCATCATCATTACGAAGGGTGAACTTCTAGGGCTTTGGTGACACACCTCATGTTGGCTGCTTCTGAGGCAAAGTCATCCCCATATTCCAAGCTTGGGCTAAGAAGAATCTAAACTCCTTGGAATCCCCTCTGTATTTTACTTCCAGCAGAGGAACTTTGGGAATTTGGCGCCTCCGTGGTATTGCCCCCACCACCAGGGACCATGGGCTACAGCAGCCGCTGGCATTCCTGCAGCCTGTACTGGCCCTGGTTGGGCACTTCTGGACCTGCAGATATACTAATAATGAGGATGATGATGATGAAGAAGAAGAAGATGATGATGTGGAAAAAAATGTTCAAAATGAAAAGTTGAAGATCTTGTGTGACTTTCAAATACACATGGATCATCATTTGGAACACAACATGCCAAATATCCGATGTAGAAAACTGAAACGTACAATTTATTGATATCGCTATACCAGGAGATGCAAGAGTTGAAGAAAAAGAACTGGAAAAAATCACGAAACATCACGACTTGGCCATTGAAACTACACGATTATGGATGAAACATGTAACAGTGATATCCATTGTCATCGGGGCACTTGGTGCCATGTCCAAGAATTTTGCAAAATACATCACGAAATTGCAGCTTCCTGCAATAACAGCAGGAGAACTGCAAAAAACTGTGCTACTTGGAACATGGTACATTTTAAGAAGATAGGTTGATACCTAAGATGCTGGCAGCAACCCATATCAACCATCTTCACCAGTCAATTATATTTGTGATACATTTTTAAATGTTCAGTTGATTAAGATTCGTGTTTAATGAATAAAAGATTATTATTATTATTATTATTATTATTATTATTATTATTATTATTATTATTATTATTATTCCTTGGTGTTCTCTGAGCTTGCTTGTTTTCTTGCAGACATTTCATTACCCAAACTAGATAACATCCTCAATGCTAGTGCAGTTTGCTCTCAGTTTAAATTCTAGTGGCTTGCCCTAAAAGTGTTGGTGGTCTTAGAGATTCTTTGCTTGAGCTGTTTGCTGTTGGCTTCCTTGGCAGTTTCTTGATTAGGGTATTATTTACTTGACTGTTGGTCTGATGTTAATCTTGGAGTTAATCTAGGCTGATGAGGGTGCTGATTGCTGGTGGAGAGGTGCTTGGATCTTTTTATTCCCTTTTTGGCTGGTTGATTGTTGTTGTTTTTAAAGACATTTTGTTTGTTGATGGCAAATTTGTCAAAAGTGCCAGGCTTCTAGAAATTCCGTGGCATTTTGAACTTGGCAGAAGACTGGCATAATGTATCCATGAACACCAACTGTCAGTCAGAAGGCATGGTGAAACCTCATTAATTCCATAACATATGGACAGACTTAATCCGTTTAAATTGGGAAAATGGGACCATCCTAGACTAAGCCAAGTCCAAAAATGCCATAGAATTACATTCTATATAAGCTTGATTTTCTGGGTCATTTTCTTCTCCCATGGAGTAGCATTACATCACATCACATTACA